GCACCCATAGATAACTAATACAGTCACTAAATCGACTTCTCAACCTGCTAACGGGTTATGACTTATAAATCAAAAAACACTGATCTGGTTCTAGATGTAAGGACTTTGCTAGGCATCAAAGGGAGATTCAAGGATGAATAAAACCTGCTCATTGTCTTGAAAGAGCTTTTAGTGTCTTTTAAGCAGCTAAAAATTTAATGGGATGCATGTATTTCTAGGGCAGGATGTTCCGGCTGTTCAAAGACAGCAGAAGCACATGAGAGGTTCCCTCAGGCCGAAATACACCATTTGGTGAGCACTGAGATATCTTGATTGGGGGTCCTTAAGAGGAAAACATAGGCTTCACTGGAGGACTGAAAGGGATTTCCACATCCAGAAAGGCTTGGAACAGAGAGGATGAGCCCATGAAGAACTCTGCTCAGGGGAAGGATCAAAGTGACCACAAATTGTATCTTATTTCCATTGTGGTTAAAGCCAGAAATCAGTAGGCTAGGCTACTGGAGGCATGTGTAGGATGACAAGGGCTGTTGTAAGGATTAAGTGAGTAAATGTGCAAAATGCTTAGATCAGTATCTGATGCGTACTAAGTAGCTATGTTTTGTTATTGTCACCTGGCCCCAGCTCTAGACACGTTCACAAATAACTTTCAAAGCACCAAACCCAATAGCCCTTCTCAGTTCTTCCCTTCTTCCCCTCCAACAACAGACCTTGATGTTGATTCTAGTAATTGTTAGATGGGAAGGGGTCCCTATCAGGGCTCTAAGTCATCAGAGAGGGCTGCTCTTTCTGCTTATAGGATAGTGACCTTTCCACAAGTGCCCTGAGAATTTATCTTTCTCAGCAAGGGGTAAACCTACCAGGAACCAGGCAGATAACAATTCTGTTTTTTGTTTTGTTTTTTGTTTGTTTTTAGGAAAGGAGACATTTATTTTCTCTTGTAAGCAGCAGCTGTCTTGGGGGTCTGGAGTCACTGAAGGGAGTCCAGTGAAGGTGGACGGCTGGGGACGGAGGACCTGGGGTCAGCCAGCACAGCCTGGACTCAGGGGTAGCCCCAAGGATAGGGATGAAACCAAGTAAATAGACTTCTCCAGTTCAGGAAGACAAAATTTTGCTGCAGAACTTGGTGTTTGTGAGATGTTCATTGTTCTGGGCTGCCTGCCTTGGACTGAGTTGGCAGAACAACACCCTTCTACAAGTGTCCAGGTCTCAATGCCCAGAATCTGTGACTATGTGACTTTCCTGGCAAAGACGGTGAGGGGGGTTCTCCTGGGTTGTCCAGTTGTCATGACAAGGGTCCTTACAAGAGCAACACAGGTCATTTCCTCACAAAGACATCTGTACCCCCATCTTCATTGCAGCACACAGTCCACGGTAGCCAAGGCACAGAAACAACGTACATGTCTGTAGACAGATGAGTGGATAGAGAGAATGTGAGCTGTCTGTGTGCCTATGATGGGACAGACGGCTCAGCCATGAGGAAGGAGGACATCCTCTCATTTGCAGCTGCATGGATGGCCCTCAAGAGCATTGTGCTAAGTGAGAGGGGCCAGAGGAAGACTTGCACTGCTTGATCTGACTTGCATGTGGAAGCTGAACGCACAAGTCCACAGGAACAGAGAGCAGACTGGGGGTTGCCGGGGTGGGGGTGGGGTGGTCAGCCACGGGCACAAACTCCCAGTTACAGGCGGGTGAGTTCTGCGTGGTGACTGTAGTTAACAGTTCCGTGAGCTTACTGGAAGGTCACTAAGGGAATAGACCTTAAATGCTGCCACCACAAAAAATTGGTGGCAGCAGGAGGTGACGGAGGTGCTCACAGCCTCACTGGGGCATCAGTTTGCAGCACATCCATGTGTCAGATCATTGCATTGCACACTGTGGGCCTACACACAGCGTTACTTGCTTGTCCTGTCTCAGTAAAGCTGGGAAGGGAAAGGAGTTATCTGTCATTTAACAAGAGGTTTCCTATCTGGTGGGCAGTTTGCAAAAGCTTTCAGGCATCAGCAGGGGCTGGGTGCAACCTCTGGCAAACATCTAAGCCTCTTTCTTTTTACAGGTGAAGTGTATATGGATTCCAGCTAATGTGACCAGGCTTGGACCAGGGCCCTAAGGGACCCGGACCTCCAAAGATGCTCTGGATTTCTTCGGAGAGACCTGTTTGGGCCAGTTGAGGATCCTTAGTGTGGCTTCTGCTTGCACAACTCTATCTTTCCTAGCCCCTCCTTTGTTATTCTGAAATGAAAGGTGGCAATGGATGTTTTTAAGAGATAAAAGTTTGCCAATTGGTTCTGTTCAATGAAATCTGTAAACATCATCATTGAAAACCTCAGAACTGTTGATAAATACTTACTGAGCACTCACTAGGTATTGTGGGAATATTTACTGAGCACTGAAGTAGGTTGCAAAACCAGCTTCAATTCTCTGCCCATCCCTATACCCGTGTTCCTTGCAATGTGACTTTGCTGCTCCTGCCATCAGAACACGGAGTCTACTTCCCCACCCTTGGATCCCGGTTGAACTTGTGACTTGGTCTAGCCAACACAACTGTGGAAGTGATGCAGTGCCAGTTTTGAGCCTAGACCTTAAGAGACCTTTCCTGATCCCACGCTTGCTATTGGAACTCTGAAGCTCCATGTGAGCCAGCCTGGCCTAGTCTGCTGGTGGATGAGAGACACGTGACCCAGTTACTTTAATCGACTGCTGGCCACTCCCAGAAGCAGAGGCCTCTGGCTGCCTAGCCACTGATGCCAGATGTATGTGGGAGTCCAGCTGAGGCCAGAACAGCTGCCCAGATGAACCCAACCTAAAGTGCTGAGCCATAAAATCATGAACTCAATAGTTATTTTTTCAAGCCACTTCTAAGTTTTGGGGTCTCTTACTATGCAGGAGAAAAATTGCTGACTGATATCAGCACTTACACATGCCAAGCGCTGGTCTATTTGAAATCAGGCAAGCCTTGGGAGAAAAGATGTGCAGAGATGGCTTAAGAAGAGCATGATGCCCTAAGTGCTCTGGAGAAGCAAACACACTAGGAATAGAAGGAGTGGCACTTGAGCTGGAGAGGAGTCATCCTTGTGGAGCTGGAGGGGCTAGGATGAAATTCCTGAGAGAGGGGACTGAGTAAGGTAAGGCATGGATGTGGAATACCCCAAACTGGGGCCATGAGTCAGTGGTATTTACTGAGCTCTTACCGCATGCACAAAAGCACTGTACTGGCTATTTCAGGTCTGTGTGTGCCTAGCAGGGGAGTTAAGACATCCACTTGTGGAAATTGGCCAGAAATTTAAGGCTGATTTTAACTGAAACAGAAGTAGCAGGGTCTGCTTTGTCTAGAGTAATAAGGATCTTGGCTTGGGCATAACAAGACTCAATCCGTTTATTATTTATATATGGTACCTGGTATATATGTTGCAGAGATACAGTGATGATGAGGGTGGGGAGAGGCTTCCATAGTTTTCCTGGGAAGGAGTCAGAAAACATGGCTGCTCAGGCAGCCTCATGAGTGTTAACCACTGGAGGGCAGGGTCCGTGTCTACTTCATCTTAGTATATATACCCCAAGACACAGGGCCTTGCCTACACTAGGCATTCAGTTTTTTGTTTTAAACTGATGAGGGAGAGAGAGAAAAAGAAACATCAATTTGTTGTCCTACTTATTTACACATTCATTAGTTGATTCTTGTATGTTCCCTGACTGGGGATTGAACCTGCAACCTTGGCATATCGGGATGTCACTCTAACCAACTGAACTACCTTGCCAGGTAGGCATTCAGTTTTGAAAGACTTTCTTTGGAGATGTTGCAAATTGCCTTACCTTTTATTCCTATTCACCCAATTGTATTAGTTTTCTAGGACTGTTGTGGTAAATTGGCACAAGCTGACTGGCTTAAAACAAGAGAAATGTACCCCCTCACTGTTCTGGAGTCTAGCAGTCTGAAATCAAGGTGTTGGCAGAGCTGGCTTCTTTTTTGGATGCTTTGAGGCAGAATCTGTTCCTTGCTTCTTAGCATGTCAATCCTTGGGATTCCTTGCTTTGTAGAAGTATCACTACAGTCTCTGCCTCCATTGTCACATGACACATCTCTGTCCATGTGTCTCACCAGTCACACTCTACATACTTCAGTATGAGCTTATCTTTTACCTGCACTGACCCTATTTCCAAATAAGGTCATGTTCTTAGGTACTTGGGGTTAAGACTTCAATCTGTCTTTTTGGGGGAGACACAATTCAACCTGTAACATCCATCAAGACCTAGGGGAACATGTGTTCCTTAATCTCACTGCCCCAGTCCTCAGAGGCAGCATTAAATGTTCTTTTCTTCAGGACTCCCACATGTTTAATACATGTTTCTGTTCATTAGAGCATTTGACTCGCTGGTCATCCTCACAGGTTGAGTTAGAGGCCTCATTTCTTTCATCTTCCCCATGAAAACTGCGAAAGGTTATATGGTGATTCCTCCATAAACGAAGACCTGTGAAGTAGCTACCCTTCCCTGAGCTATCGTGTTGGGCAACTTCCAACATTTCATGTATTAATCGTCACAAGGACCCTGTGAAGTAGGTATTTATATATTTAATTCCTCTTTTATAGATGAGAACATAGGGATTTAGAGAGGTTGAAGTTACTTAGGGTAGCCAGAATTGTTGTCTCTAAAAACCTGAATGGGCGTCTGAAGCCATCACGTGAAAAGTTTCCTATTCCCCATCTTCACTTTTCTCAAAGTACCCTGATCCGGCTAATTCAACTCAGCCTCAGTCCTACGTCCTCGTCTGCACCCAGCTCTCCCAAGCGTCTTCCCTCCAGAAGCCGCACACAAAGCGGATCCACCGATGAGGGCGCGCGGCCGCCCTTCCGCGCGCGCCGCTCCCAGGGCGCGGCGTGAGGACACCCGCGCGCTGCTGAGTTGCGCGCGGCTCGGGCCCTGCCTGCTCCCGCCCCTGAGCCTGTCCTGGCGCAACGATTGGCCGGGCGGCCGAGCGCTCAGGCCCAGGCCCATACGCCCCTCCCTGCCGGCTCCAACACGCTGCTGTTGCATGGGGCGCCGCCGGCGGCCGAGGGAGCGTGACTGCGCTGCGCAGGGCGCTAGGAGGCATTGTCGCCGTAAGTGTAGCAGAAAGCCGCCCGGATCGGGGCCCCACGCTTCGTGCCTCGCAAAGTAAACGTAGTCTGAGGCTAAGCGCTGGAGGGGCTGGGGGAGAGAGGGAGATAAGTGTCCCCGTTTCTGCAGTGTACCCTCCCCTCCCCCAGGTCACCTGGTGCAAAGAGCAGCGGTGCACCAGGTGCGGCTTCTGCAGAGTCCAGGGGCCCAGCGCCACGCCGGCTCAAGCTCGCAGACTGCGGCTGGACTGGGGCTGGCTCGGGGGAGTGGGCACAGCGGTGCCAGGGAGTAGGGAGCTCGGGGAAGCAGTCCTGGGCGGGCCTCCATTCCCCGCGGGAGGCGCCCCTGCGGGGACAAGCTGTTGTGTACTTGATTCCTGAAGTGACACTTTCGGGGTTTGCTTCTGCTCTGGGGAACTGCAGACGCGTGCCGCAGAGTGTGCCTCTCGGCCTCCGGAAGGCGCGGGAGTCCCTGGCCCTCTGTGATCATAGCATTCTTTCCTCTGCCTGCTTTATTCTCTCCAGTCTCCGCCTGCCGGGAGAACGGGGGCCGGCGACGAGGAGCCATTGGCTGCGGGCTTCGGGGGGTGGGGTAGACGGGTGAGGCGGGCCCCTTGCGCCACGCGAGGGGACCCTGGCCTGGCCACCTTGCTCAGTCCTGGGAGGTACAGCCCGAGGATGCTTACATGCCTATACGGAAGCACGCGCGGACGCTGCGAACCCCATGGCTCAAAAACAAGGCGCCAGCCGGTCCTGCTCACTCCCCAGCGGGCTCCTTTCCCTTGGGTGGAAAACTGGGTCAACTCTGTTCTGGCCTCCAGTGGGCCTTCTGGGCTACTTGGGTCCGATCCAGCCCGCCAGCTCTCACCTCCCCATAGGCTGTCCCATTGGCCTGGTCCAGGAGACCCGCTGGAGCCAACGTTGGGGGAGCTTGCACACATGGCTCAGGAGGTTCGGGTTGCTCTTCCAAGCGGCTGCCAGGCTCTAAAGTTCCCAAATGACTACACCAGTAACTAAATATAGGAGCAGCTGGTGTGGACGGGGTGTCGCAGCAGCTCCTTTGCACAGATCTTGGGGCTCAAGATAAGGTAGAGTTCTCACTGGTGAGGGCGGGAGCTGAGGCAGGGGGCTACTTTCAGGGTTTGAGCAAAAAGTTCCCCTTTCCCAGCCTCCTATCCAGGTGAAATGAGGTTATAGGTACAGGAGGGCAGTGTTGCCAGCTCATAAGCAGGGCACTTTTTTTTTTTCCTGGCATCCAGTTTATTCTAATTTACTGTACCTGTTTAATCACCTATTGGTAATACCTTGTGTGGGAAGTGCTTAAGAGCTTGCAAAGACCTTTCTCAAAAGTTATACGTCATTACTGTTTAAAACAACCCAGCAAGGAAGACGATATATTCATTTTACAACAGTTACTGCTCACAGCACTGATAGCCTTCCAAAACTTTGGTTGGTTTAATCTGCTCTCCTCAAAAACCTCTCCAGAGAGCTCCCTGCAGAGAAACAGAGGACAGATTTATAGAAAGGCCTTCAACCCCCTTCCCCAGTAATCTGGGGACAGACTGGCTGCCTGGCTTCCTCAGTCCTTCATCACTTTGGATACCTCTCCTCAGTCCCCCTCTCTGTCCCCTCCTCCCAGCCACACCGTGTGCCTTCGTGGCACAGGTTGCACTACTCCTTGGGCCTGGTGTCATTGCCCTAGTAGCGTCTGACTTATTCTGCCTCCTGTCACTGAGTCTCTCTTACCCAATGGGAAGCTTATTCTGGCCCATACCCTGTCTCTGTACTTTTACTCCCCAAAGCAGTGTAGCTGTAGTCCTTGTAGGAGGTGCCCTATAGATGTCTGCTGGATTTAAAGATTTCCTGCACACTCAGAGGAAAGGGGAGTGGGATGTGTGGAGAGGGTTGTGTTGCTTGGACAGCAGCAGTGTGAGTACCACTTTGGACCTGGTGCATAGGGATCTCCAGGATTTGGAGTGCTTTTCTTGAAATTTTCTAAGGCTTCTCTCTAGTGCCTGGGAGCAGCCGAGGGCTGCATATCCATCAGATTTGGGTCCACAAGGCCATGTGGGCTGATGGTTCCTGTTTCTCCCCTTTGGGATACTCTTTCTGTTACCACCACCCCTGCTTGTGGGGTTGACCAGATGCGTCAAGGTTTTTTTTTTTTTTCTCCTTTCCCAAATCTCCTTTCTCTCTGGGTTCCTGATACATGCTAAATAAGTTCTTGCTTGCTTTTTTTTTTTTTTCCCCCAAAGAGGCCCTCTGTTGGGTTGGGGCTGAAAGGAGCAGTCAGTGAGGCTGGACAACCTTGTTGGAGCCCTTTTGGGTACACACTCTAGACTCCTATCATCCCAAGTTTGTCCTTTCCTCACTTTTGGAGCCCTCTTATCCCATCTTGGGTCTCACACCACATGTGGCCCTGCCACGCTCCCATCTCACAGACCTTCATCATTTGACCTGGGAGAGAGATTGTCAGCTGAACTCTATGAAGGAACTCTCCCTTGGAGGGAGGGGGAGTTTTAGGTGAAGGCAGGGTGGTTTCCTAGCCAGTTAGTGAGGTTGGGCAGCAGGAACCCCTTGGAGGGGTAGGGCATATCTGAGCTGTACCCCTGAGCATCCTATGGAATATAAGGGGCCCCTCCTAATGACTTGTTCTAACTCACAAACTTTACAGGTTGCTCCTGTTCCTGCTTCAAATATCTATTCTCTGACTCATACAGTAGGATGTCTGAGCTTGCTAGCAGGGGTGTGTGTGTGTGTGTGTGTAAATTGATTATGCTAATACAGTTGTCCCATTTCTTTCTCCCCTTTATTACCCTCTGCCCAGCACCCCCCCCCTCTAGTATTTCCCCCCACCCTTAGTTCATGTCCATGGGTCATACATATAAGTTCTTTGGCTTCTTCATTTCCTATACTATTCTTAACCTTCCCCTGTTTATTTTGTATCTACCATTTATGCTTATTCCCTGTACCTTTTCCCCAATTCTCCCTCCTCCCCCTCCTCTCTGATCTCCATTTCTGTGATTCTGTTCCTGTTCTAGTTGTTTGCTTAGGTTTTGTTTTGGGGTTTTTTTTTTTAGGTTATGTTTTTGATAGTTGTGAGTTAGTTGTCATTTTACTGTTCATAGTTTTTGATCTTCTTCCTTTTCTTAGATAAGTCTCTTTAACATTTCATATAATAAGAGCTTGGTCATAATGAACTCCTTTAACTTTACCTTATCTGGGAAGCACTTTATCTGCCCTTCCATTCTAAATGATAGCTTTGCTGGATAGAGTCATCTTGGATGTAGGTCCTTGCCTTTCATGACTTTGAATACTTCTTTCCAGCCCCTTCTTGCCTTTTCTCTTTTGAGAAATCAGCTGATAGTCTTATGGGAACTCCTTTGTAGGTAACGTCTCCTTTTCTCTTGCTGCCTTAAAGATTGTCTCCTTATCTTTAACCTTGCATAATGTAATTATGATGTACCTTGGTGTGTGCTTCCTTGGGTCCAATTTCTTTGGGACTCTCTGAGCTTCTTGGACTTACTAGAAGTCTCTTTCCTTCGCCAAATTGGGCATGTTTTCCATCATTATTTTTTCAAATAAGTTTTCAATTTATTGCTCTTCCTCTTCTCCTGGCACCCCTGTGATTCAGATGGTGGAATATTTAGAGTTTTCCCAGAGCTTCCTAAACTTCTTATTTTTTGAATTCTTGTTTCTTCATTCTGTTCTGGTTGAATGTTTATCTCTTCCTTCTGCTCTAAACCATTGATTTGAGCCCCAATTTCCTTCCCTTTATTGTTGGTTCCCTGTATATTTTTCTTTACTTCACTTTGCATAGCCTTCACTTTTTCCTCCATTTTGCGACCATACTCCACCATTTCTGTGAACATCCTGATTACCAGTGTTTTGAACTCTGCATCTGGTAGGTTGGCTATCTGTTCATCACTTAGTTCTATTTTTTGGAGGTTTGATCTGTTCTTTCATTTGGACTATATTTCTTTGTCTTGGTACACCTGTTACGTTGGAAGGGGAGGAGCCTTAGGTACTCGCCAGGGCGGGGCAACCCAGGTCACTGCCTTTGTGGTGCTATATATGGGGGAGGGGTCTGAGAGGAAACAATTCCACAAGTCTAGGCTCTCCAATGGCTTTCAGTCACTTCCCCTGCTATCCACAAGCAAATTGGGCCCTTCCACTGAGGTGGGTGGGTTTATGTACATTCTAGGACCCTATGGGTCTCTCAGCGAACACTCCTGTGAGGCTCAGAGTTTCTCCCACTGCTGCATCCCCCACAGATTTTTACAGCTAGAGGTTTTGAGGCTTTCTTTTCCCCCGCTGGAACCCTGGATTGCAGGTCTGTCTTGCTCCCCAGTTGTTCCTCCTGGTTTATCCGCATGCAAATGTGGGACCTCCTGGTCTGCCCACTTCCAACTCGCCCACTTGGTCCTCCAGCTGCTGCCTTGCCATGTGTCCTCTCTGCCCTGGCTACCCAACTCTAACCCTCCTACCAGTCTGGATGAATGTTTCGTCTTTAACTCCTTGGTTGTTGGACTTCCATACAGTTCGATTTTCTGGCAGTTCTGTTTATTTTTTTGTTTTTAAATTTGTTGTTGTCGTTCTCTTGGTTGTGTGAGGAGGCAAAGTGTATCTTTCTAGCATCCATCTTGGTGGGAAGTCCAGGAGTGTGGTTTTCAATCTGATTATTTTTCATTAATGGGTTCTTTGGTTTAAGGCACAACTGCTTCCACCTCGTGGCAGCTAGAAGAATTGCAGGCATAGCGTCTGAAAGGAATCAATTTAGACAATCCCACTAAGTTTAGTACAGACCCTGGGCAGGTTGGAGATTTACCTTCTCTTTCTCCTCTGCTGAGAGGCCAGGGTTGCCTCTGTGATGTTTCTTATAAAGCTGTTCCTCATCAAAATCACAAGTCAGAGCTATTTCCTGTATTTCTTTCTTCTTCATTTTATGCCCTGTACCTCGTAGATGTTCAATACATGTTTGTGACTGTTGATGATAAATATTGGAGATGGGGATAGGAGGGAGCATGGTATGGTAGGAAAACCTGGTTTAGGAGTTAGAAGACCCAGGTCTTTTGTTTTCATCTATCTGATTTACCTCTCCTCTTGGGTCCTCAGGTTTGTTTTCTTCCTTCCTTCCTTCCTTCCTTCCTTCCTTTCTTTCTTTCTTTCTTTCTTTCTTTCTTTCTTTCTTTCTTTCCTTCTTTCTTTCTTTTCTTTCATAAAAAAGTGAGACTAAGTCATGAAAATTCCAATAACATTGCTATGATTCAGGCTTAGGGGGATGCCTTAAAGGTAGCATAGTGAAGGTGTTGGTTCTAGTTTTCAGTAGACCTTACTATTTCCTACTGTCCCATGGCTCACCTCCTGCAAGTTGTATACCCGGTACTGTTCAGGCATTTGAATTTATGCCCTTTCTCAATTACACAGTGCCTTAGATTTGTTGTAAGAGTCAGTTGACTTGTGTTTAGATTTGAAACTCAAATGATGGTTGTTAATCATCATCATCACCATTGGGAAACACTAACTGGGTATCTATTTTCAGTGTGTGGTGTAAAGTGTAGGTGGAAAGCACAGTATAGATCTGCTTTCCTTCAGACCAACTCAGGACTCAAATGTGTATAATTTAAAAAAGCTTATTAACAACTCAGTTGGCTTGTGCTAGGACATCCAGTGCTTCAGAAACTCAGAAGGAGAGAACACAGAGGGCTGGGGCAATCAGGGAAGACTTCCTGGAGGTGGAGAGAGAAAAAAATTCTACTCATTCCTTAAAGATGAGTTCCACTGTGGTGTTTGTTCAAAGTCACATGGGTATGAAACTGGGATTAGATGCTGGCATCGTGTCTGCACATGTATTGCTTTATCCTCTCAATTAACATTTATTGAGTATCTATGTGTCCTGGGTTCTAGGCTAGAAAGATATATATATTTTGCTTAATCTTTGTATGAACCCAGTGAAGTTATTACTAGATGTCTTCAGATGAAGAAATGGGCTCAGGGTGGTTAAGACACATTGCCAAGGCTTCTCAACTAATAAAGAGCAGATTTAGACATCAGGCCTGTGTTAAAAAACCAGTCTTTTCCCACTGCACCATGTGTTTCACACCTCTAATGTCAGCCTCCTTGACATATGTATGTGCATCAATATGAGATGCGCATACATATTGAACTCACTGCTAACTCTCCCCTAAGCAGATGGGTAGGCTTGGCCATTCCCCAGCTCAGCCTTGGCTGCCCTGCCTGTGCAGCTGAGCACATGCGCAGCTCTGAGCTCTACCCTTACCTTGTTTTTCTCTGCCCCTTACATTCTTCTGCCTTTGACTCTCAGACTGAGTTCATTAGAGTTGCCTGGGCTGTGTGCAAAGCTGAGATTGGATGGGGGTGAAATGTGGCATTGACCTTGGCCTCAAGTTCATTTTCTCTGTGGGGTGCTGCCACTGGTGATGTGGGTGATGTGGGTAAAGAAGTGAGCATTGAATGTGGAGCCAGGCTGAGCTGATTATTGTCACTTATTTCAACCTTGGTCAGGTCATTTAGTCCTACTGTATGCCTCAGTTTCCTTCTCTGTAATAAACGGAGTTGGCAACGTTTCTAGTGTTCCTTGTCTTTAACACCTTATAATTTTTTATTGTGTTCCTCACCCTTCTTTAAGTCTCCTCTCTCTAGTAGTCCAATTTCCTTTCTCTCATTTCCCTACCCCATCCCCCTTTTCCCTTGGGGTCTTGCACATAAATTCAGCATCAGGTTCATAATCAGGCCTGCAGGCTAAAGACGTAACTTCCCTCTATACTAATACTTGGGGAGGGAATTCTTAGAGACCAGCCAACCTGCCAGACTGTGAGCTCTGACCAGGCACAAAGGAGGAGCCTAGCGGAAGTGGGTGGGGCAAACCAGGAGCTGGAAGAGTTGTCCTGGAGGGTCTTGGACAGTGCAACATTTCATAGACTATGGGGTAGAGGGACAAGTGTCCCTTCCTTGCAGTTGGCTGTGCCCCGCCTCCTCCTCCTACTGCCCTGCCTGTGAAGTGAATCACAGGCCAGTACACACCTGAGTGCTTACATCTGCCCAGCCACGGGTTCAGGCCCTGATCCCGTGTCTGGTTAGGTCATATGTGTCGATCCTCCTAGGAAACTAGTAGGACTGGGCTGCCTCCATCCTCTGATGACCAGATCAGCTGGCTGTGCCCTGGGCTCTGGGCCCCTCAGGAGGAGGTGAGTGGCCTGGGCTCCCCCTGCAGGCTTCCAGCAGCTTGGGTCCCTGGGAAGAGTGGATTCAGAAGCGAGTCCTTGGCTGGAGGGCAGGCGATTCATGCTCCTGTGTCTTCCCCAGGTACAGGCCCCCTTGTGAGCAGCAGACCGGCCTTGGGGCTGGCAGCAGGACACCCACGTCTGCATGCTGAGGAAGATGGGTGAGGCGGTGGCCAGAGTTGCGAGGAAGGTCAATGAGACGGTGGAGAGCGGCTCTGACACCCTGGGTGAGTGAGGGACGTGGCTTTCCATGAGCGGGTGCCCTGGAAGTAGTTTGTGAAATCAGTTTGGAAATGAAATAGAAAGAGAAGATGAAAGAGACAATATTAGTGTACCCCTTGTCATGAGGAGCAGTGTTTCATGGAACTTTTATTGCAATTGTATTTAGTTTGCAAATATACTGGGGACCAATGTAAGACTGGCAATGGGTCGTAGTCAAAGAGATTTGACAAACACTGAGTAAGGGGTTCCACCTGCCTGGAGTCTGCCTGCCTGCCCTTGGACTGCCGGTGATTCTGAGCGTGTATGTGCCCTTGGACAACGTGGCAAAAGCTGGCACTGCTGAGTTGTCCCATGTCTCAGGCTCTGTGCTGGTATAGGGATATCGCCTTACTGAATTCTCACAGCCTCCCTGTGACAGATGATCCCTGCCAGGCATGACTAGCTATGGTCTTCAGATGAGGAGGAGATGAAGAGTCCAAGGCAAAGGGGGCTATTTCCAGGCCCCTTTTCACTCCACTGTTTTACTTGAATTGTACCCTATGTATTTTTTGCTTTAAACTGATAATAGCATAAATAAATATCTGCTGAATTGACTATCTTGCCATATGAAAGGATTAGCAGGGGATACAAGGCAATTGTGTGTGTGTGTGTGTGTGTGTGTGTATCTCATTCACTGGAATGTAAACAGCATCTTAGAGCCATAGGGTAGGGGTGTTGTGGGAACCCAGAGGAGGGGAGCACCATCCTGCCTGTGGGTGATTGTGCAGGTGGACAGATTGGGATTTGCCTTGGGCCTTTGGTACACAGAGAGGAAATTCACAGGCAGGTAGGGATGTATGTGCCTGTGTGTGTCTGTGTCTGTCTGTCTCACGAAGGAGCATATCAATGGAGGCTAATGCCTGAGCAAAAACCCATTGTCTGGAAAGGTAGAGCATTTCTTCAAGTAGCTGTTGACCAGGGTGTATCTGGAATGTAGGCTTCTGGGTCAGGGGGTGGTGGCTCAGGAAGTGGAGGGACGCTCAGCCGCTTGGCCACTGCTTCCAGGAAGCCTTCAGTCACACCCTGTCCACCTCTTGCTCCCTTCCTCTTCTGTAGCACCCATTCAGTGTCCCTAGAGGGCAATGATCCTGTGGTCTTTTGTCCCCTACTCCCTAACCCCCAAGAGCTGGCATAGTGTCAGGTATTAATGAGCACGTGGAGGTGTTTGCTGAATTGAGCTAAGGTAAGAGAAGCATCTCCTCTATGAGCAAACAACTTGAAGACTGTCATTGATTTTGGAGGGAAGACTCTGTGGGGAGCCTTCAGCTGGAGCCCGGTGCTGGTCACTAATATGTTTGTACTCACCCTTGTGCTCAATGTGGTGAAGAGCCAGGCTTTGGGTCACACAGGCCTGGATTTGAATCCCCACTCCACCACCTCCCAGCCTGCTTTCTTAGCCTCCCTGAGCCTCGGTTTCTTCATCTATAAAATGGGAGTTTAATTGTGTCTCCCTCATCAAGGTGATTAGGAGTAATTGTAGTATCTGTAAGGTGCTTGGCATGTGGGTAGGTCGATAAATGGCAGCTATGATTTTTCATTTGTTCTCTTCCCCGAGGGCTGGAGGGGGAGGCCTAAGCCCCCCCCCCCCCACCCTGCCCCATCATGAGCACACCTCCTCCATGTGTCAGCCAGCCAGGTCTTGTCCAGGTGTCTGTGTTGCCTTTGAATGGGGAGCTCAGTGCAAATCGACAAATCTCTGCAGTGACTAACCAGCTCCTACTTTAAAGTGTCATTGGGCAGAGGGACACATATGCAGCTCAGTCTTATCCAGAGGTGAGAAGGGGGACAGGCGAGGGGCAGCAGAGGAGGGACAGCGGAATTCCGACCTCCTGGGGAGGCGCTGTTTGAGAGAGGATTTCCTTAGGCAGCAGTAAGGAGGCAGGTGTCCCAGGCAGGGGCAGGGCAGCACCGCAGCTGGGGAGAGGCCACTGGAGAGCTGCCTCTGTGGCAGGGGGAGCTGGTAAGGGATGGCACCCTTCACGTGGAGGGCCTGGAAGGCCATGTTGAGTGTAGGAGTCTAGATTTCAATGTCTGTGGACCAGAGATTGCAAATTCAGTTGCCTTTGCAGCCCAAGTGAGGGTTTCTGTGAACTGAAGACTGGATACTCTTCCTGGGGTGAAGTGTGCAGTATGTCCAGGGTGGGGAGGGCTGTGACCAGCTCTTCTGCACTGTCTGGGGCCTTGGCCACTGAGGAACCCAAGCCGGGCCTCTGACCACCCAGCCAGACCACCTCAGTACCCGGGATTGGAATTCTGCCTTTCTGACACCAGAGAAAGGGCTGTATTCCCACCATGCTGTCCTGGAGTTGGGGGCAGATGGTTGGGTATTATCAGGGTCATGAGCACAGTGAAGCTGTAATCAACTTGGGAGAGGCCAAAGCTCAAGACTTTCATGTGTTGTGGAGGTGATGGGGTCTTTAAAATTAGGGCTGGGTGATAGGGGCCTTTTTACCTCTTCAGTGCCCAGAGAAGAAACAAAATATCAGACTGGCCACTAGTTTGGGTACCTGACCCTTGGCAAATGGAACTCATCAGGCTCATACAATCTGAGAGGCCTGGGGTTTAAACAGCCTGCACGTATTGAGTACTTGCTGTGTGCAAGGTGCATTGAAGCCCTGGACCTGAGACTAGACTGCCTCTGTGACAGTCAGAGAGCAGTGAGTGACACATGGCTCCATGCCCAGCCATGTCAGACAGCCCACAGGTGGTCGCGATTCAGAGGTGGGAGATGTTGCTGGGTGTTGAAGTGGTACAGGATAAAGTTCTCACATAAGATAGCAAACAATCTGAAGCAGCCTAAACAACCAGTGCCACAAAATTTCTTACATAAATTTTGTTAGAGCTATAGAATGCAATGTATGTTGCCATTAAGAGTGGTACATAAAATTTCATCCCATGCTTGAATTAAAACTGGAAAATCTCATGTATAATGTGAATTGGAAAAAAAAACCCACCCCAAACTCTATCTATAGTAAGATGCCAGTTATCTTAAATGTGTTTATGTACATAGAAAAAAGTGGAAGGAAATAAAACAAGCTGCAAATGTATGTTAGAAAATACAGCTCTGTACTTTGTGAATGTTCTGTGATGAACATATTACCCTTTAAGTAGAGAAGAATGAGTTTTAAGGAAGGGACCCCCTGCCACTACAGAATGTGGAAGGGAAACACCCTTCCTTCCCAACAGAGTGACCAGAGACCAGAGTGTCAGGAGTAGCTCCTTCTCTGAGCCCCTGGTCCTAGGAGTGGAATGGGCTCCCCTCGCGGCCTCCCTGTGCGCAGGCCCCGGGGGCACGGGCCCTGTGAGGTGGCTGTGGAGCAGCCACAGGTGTCTTGCTGCAGAGTGCAGAGATCCTGCGGAGACTGGGCGGGGGAGAGCTCTGTTACAGGCTGGCTCTCACCTTACGCAGGCCGGTCACCCTGGTGCGCGGCACTCCTGCTCCCCCAGGCACTCGTGGGTGCGCCTCCCCAGCCAGGCTTGCTCCACCTGTAACCTGAGCTTTGGATCCCAGCCCTTGTCGCCCACTTCCGGCCTCCTCATCCCCTGAGAAGTGGGCTCCTTTCCACCTGGCCCCTGGTATGCCCCTGAGCTTGAGTTGAAGCTGCTTTCCTCTAGCCCCTCACCCCTCCTCAGCCTCATCCTGGAGGCTCTTCCAACCAGCTGGCAGAGTTGTGTACTGTGCACCTTCCCTGAACCTGGCTCTCCTCTCTGTCCACACCTTGTCTCCCCACGTTAGCTCTTTATCTTTGTAAAGGTCTCAGGCCCATCGGGGCATCCCTAGGCACTCGTACCCCAGAGTGGTCTGATTGACCTTACCCTTGCCTCCCTGGCTTCCCATAACAGCATGTCTGGCCAGTGGACCATCCGGCCAGGCCGCTCTGCGCCCCACTCTTCTTCAGGGGAGGGGCTCCCAGGTCTGCCGTGTGCTTTGGGGATGACTTTAAAAAACCATCATTACTGCAGAGGAGCGGGGTTTGGAAAGGCCTGGGAGAGTGCAGGCAGGGCAGGCAGAGCCGGCTGGGATAGAGGCCGATGCAGAGATGGGAGGAAGGAGACTGTTGTGGGCTGGGAAGGAAAGGAGCTAGCATTTATCTGGGGCCCACTGATAAATGTTATGGGCTCAGTCATTTCATATCTCATTCTGTATTTTCTATAGCATTTTGTACTTTCTGACTCTGAGGGTTCATGTCTGTGTTCATTTGTAGAGACTTCTGAGCCATTAACTCTGGGCATGTTGCTCTCCCCATCCCTGGAGTCTCTATTGCCTAGAATTGCTCTTGGGCTTTCCCTCTGGTTGCCTCCTCACTCTTGGGTACTTCCTTTCTCTTTCTCTCTGTGCTCTGTGCTGAATTTTCTCTGATCATTGTAAGCCCTTTACCATTTTGGACTTAATCTTCCCGACAACCCTGTGACTCAGGTAATGCTAATATCCTCATTTCACAGATGGAGAAACTAAAGCATGGAACATTTTCTCTCCACTGTTGCTAGGTGTTCTGTAGCATGAAAGTACTCAGCGTGTCTCCTAGGACGAGTTGCTTTTGGAGTTGCCCTGTTATGCAATGCTGGAGCCAAGGCTGAGGGTGCAAGTGGTTTGCTGATGAGACAGCTGTTTAGAGGTGGAGCCAGGGCTCATCACGGGTGTGTGGCGCCCAGCCCTGCCTTTCCCCAGGCACCCTGCTGCCCCCATTAAAGGGTGAGGGAAGGAGACCTGAGCAACTTGGAGCTCCCTCCTCCCACCCTTACACTTGCCTCTCCGCTCATGCCTTCTTAGAACTGCAGTTGGCCTACCCTGTTCCTAGAAAAGGAGGAAGATAATCAGACTTATAGCTATCTGGTCATTTAAGATGTCTTATGTGGTAACGAGAAGGTGGGGAGAGCCCCCCTTAGGGCACATGCTCTGTCAGCTCCTCTTCTACAGGGCTTCCTAAAAGGCTGGGTCCTGCGTCAGGGTCGTGGGATTCGGGTT